TGTGTGAGTAATGAGCATATAATGAAGCTCGGGTTACTAGACGTCTTGCCATAAGGGTTTGGCCTTCAGTTCTTCTACTATTGAAGTGCTTGAATATTCAGCTATTTGTAACTAGATTCGGCTATAAAACTTGTAAGTTTAGGCTTTGACAAGTGGATGTAAATTTCCCATCATTTCTGTAGCTTGATGCCTACTCAATTAACTTCATGACGTAAGATAGTTGTTCAACGTTCAAGAATTCCGTCCTCTGATTTCTATGCCACAGTCTCAATAATCTAATCACTTCATCCCAATTTTGACAGTGACAAAATCGGCCCTTTTTAAATCGCAATTAGAGATGGGGAACGGGTTGGTGATTCAGTTTGACCCAGTATTCGTGCTCACGTAGCCAACATCAACAAGTGGTTACTGAAGATGGATGATCCTGAACAGCGGCGTCAACTACTAGCCATAATCCAAGAAATCATCATTTTGAAGAAGACAAAAGGGTCGATGTTATACAACGTAGTTTTCAATATATAAATTCATCTTTAGTGTGTTTGCATAGCTATGTAAGGGATGTAGGGCATGCAATATTGCACTCAAAATAAAATGATTTAAAGCAAATTAATAGGTCTGCCGACCTGCTCCTCCCACTATATCAAACGGCAGATAGTGCTGCCTATCAGAAACCGAAAGAATACATCTGAATAAAACTTTAAAATGAAATTCACAATGGTGTTATTTATCTATTATGTTATCAATGCTATTTATTATTATTTGCTGCCAATGACTTTTCTACTGTGAATGAATCTGTTATGGCTGAAATTGATCTATTATTACTGGCGCGCACAGCTTGATTACACATAACGCTTGGGAACAAACCAATTCATCCAGCCGCGTCCGGAAACCGGCGGATATACCCGCTTCACCAGTCAGCATTACCCGTTGCATCCCAACCGGGAGCCTGGAAACAACACACCAGCCGCGTAGGGCGGGGTTCACATCGCGCGTGACTCGTCAGCGCCAGTTCGTTTCCGGCCAGAGCCGCCATCCGGCCGACTCGCGAGTTGGGGTGACTGGCAGCTGGCGGGGGTCGAATAAAAGCGCCCGGGGCTACGGTCAGGTCGTCACTGAGCTCCCTGCGGCACAGCACCGGCACCATGGCGGCTACTCTCACCCGTTTTCTGGCTCTGGCGCTGCTGGTCGCTGCGGCCTCGGCGCAGAAGGGTGAGTTGAACTTGGTGGGATTTAGCCTTAGTTGTATTCGATTTGCACGAGCTTTTAGCTTATACAGCTGTTACTGAGATGTAAAACGGGGCATTCAAAGATGTTTTTAACGTGTTTAGATTTATTTGACAATTCAAGTTGACTATTTTACAGAAACAGTTATTGGAGCATCCGACTCTCAAAAAGACTTTTTACTCGGAAACGTATGGGCTGCCTTGATATTGACCATACAATTATTCACAACTCAATGTTATGTGTTTATCAATTACATACACTAGAGCAAAACACATCTCATGTCACACGCTTTAGTGCATCTGTATTTGTTGTATCGGACTTTTCGTCCACCGAACAAACTCTGATATTTTGACCAAGATTCTTTCAGGTAGTTTTGACCAAGTTTGGCGTTTGTCTCCTCGCAGGCAGCCGGCGCGGGATGCGGGGGGGACGTCCCCCTCGCCTTCCCAGCCCGGAGGAGCAGCTGGCCACCATGAAGGAGGCTGGCTGTCTGCCGGAGGACTTCGTCGACCCGGACTTCAGCGAGTGTGAGAGCAAGAGACTGCCGCCCATGAAGATGGCGTGCATCGCCACCGTGTGAGTCAGCCCTCAGAGATGCTGCTGGTGTGGGCTAATAACAACATGTAGACTCACAACGCATGTTCGATGTATGTGCATATTATGCACAGTTAAAAGCACAGTGAAGGTACAGCCCACCGCTAAAGTAATGTGTGGTTTTACCAATCTCAACGGATGGCTTTGACCGACGATTTTTAAATGCGGACTGATTGAAAAGAAGACGTCAATAGATAAAGTTGTAGCTGCAAGGGTGAAGATACATGTAAGCTACATTTAAAGTCTCGTTGCAGTCTGGCTAATCGTTCCTAGGCTTCAGAAGCAGAACATACCCATGACTGAAACCACACATTACTTCTGCTGTCGACTGTACTGGCCAGGGAACATTTTTGCATGCCTGCTCCAGTTGTTTTGCTTATTGTTGGCCGTTTGTGACTAGTCCTTTTCTGTGATTCTTATTCAGTTGACTTTAACGGTTTCGTAGCGGATCCGAGTGCCCCCAGAACCAATCCAGTTCCAAGAACCTCAGGCAGCCAAAAGCATCCTAATGGCACGCAGTCATCCACTAACTAGGTATTAATTCCTAACTCGTCGTTTTTGTTTCAGTTCTGGCTTCTCCGGCAACTCTGGTTTCGACCAGGCTGCTGCCGAGGCATTCATCGACGCCCGCTCGTCTGATGCTCAGTGGACCACCCACCAGAAGGAGCTCCTCTCCAACTGCTCCTCGATGCTCTCCGAAGAACTGCCTGTCGAGAAGCAAGGCCTCTTCGTGCAGCTCTGCTGGATTCAGCTGACCGTTGGCGAGTGTGCCGTCCAGCGTCTGACCGCTACCATCGCGGAGGTGGACGCGGACAACGCCGAAGAAGTGGCCACCGGTGTTGCCACCATGGCCGGCGGACACTGCTTCAAGAAGGGGCTCGAGTACCCCGCGGAAGCCACGCAGATGTGGGAGAATTGTGCGGCCGAAAGCGGTCTTGACGTCACCGTGCTGATGGCGGCGGGAGCCTACTTCAAGATGTTCATCATGGGTGACAACGGCCTGCCAGAACTGACTGCTGATAACATCACTGCTGTCGCCGAGGAGTTTGAGAAGATTGAGGCAGTCATCGACTGCTACGCCCTGGCCAGTGGCGAGGTGGGCAGCGACGGCACGATCAACTATGACACCATCCTGGCCGGCATCGAGGCGGCCGAGGGCAAGCAGCCCGTCAAGGATGCTGCCAAGAAGATTGTGGAGTATTGCCAGGGTGAGAACCCGGAGGACATCGGCGAGTTCTACGACTGCTTCGTGGAGGCCCAGCCGTACGCCTGTGTGGCTCTGAGGTCGTACGCCATCATCAGCGGTCCGGGTGGAAGGGGAGGTCGTCCCGGTGGTCGTCGTCCCGGCGGTCGTACCGGCGGTCGTCCCGGCGGTCGCAGGGGTCGTCGTGGTGGTCGTAATGGTCGTTCCGTGGTTCTCCTTCCCTGAATGAGGAGCCAGTCGACCTGACCTCGCGTCACAAGACCAACGTGGCCGTCTCCTTCAGACAAGGACCCGACACCATTTGAAGACAACCAACTGCCTGCTACAGACCATGGACTTGAATTAGTGATATGCATCTTCCTATTTTTCTGTTATTTTCACATTTTGTGATGTGTTGTCTTTTCCGTGCACTTACCCTGGAATAGTCATGGATTTCTTGTTCTAAAAGAGCGTTGTGGTACATCAATCACCCTTGCAAGGATTTACTTGTCCTTTCACGTACTTATCAACTGTGATAGAATATGCACTGAAAAATACAGTTTTCAACACAAACGTTGCCTCTTCTTTAATTTGTCTATTTTTTTATATATAAATTTAGCTCGAATGTTTGAATGGACGGATTGACAGAGCCCACGCCATAGGCGGCGGAACGGGGAGGGCGCCGGGGCACCGTGCCCCCTTTGATTTTGGCATTTTAACATTAGCCCTACGGGCGTTGCATGGAAAAAATGGAACCAGAAGTCGGCAGTGCCCCCACCTCTTAATTGAAGGTGTTCCGCCGCTACTGGCCCACGCTAAGCAGAGCTTGTTGCGTAGACCCCGACCCTACCGTCCGATCGCGCATTTCCGGGTAATAGGAGAATTTATAAGCCAAAGTTTAACGTGCACTTCAAAACGGGACACGGCCCGTCCCACTCAACTGCCTTCAACCAGCTGCGGCTGCTCCCACCAACCGCAGCCCATCCCCGTCAGGGCCTCGTTTCATAAAACGAGTCCGTAACTTACGCCGGTTTTTGGTCTTTTATTGCAAGTGCATGTGAAGCGATGACGGTGGTTTGAATTGTTGAATTTATTTATCTTGCAAGCAAGAACAGAAGGGAGAAGGGGAAATAAATTTATCGCTTCACATGCGCTTGCAATACAAGCCCAAAAACCGGCGTAAGTTACGGAATAGCTTTATGAAACGAGGCTCTGGAGTCTCAAATATCGAGCGCCGGAGCGACTCGAACCCGGACTCTCGCTACCCGGAATCCAACACTTTACCAACTGAGCTACGGGACAGGCAGAAGTGATAATTACCAAGAAGATATCACATCTTATTGAGAGTGGCCAATGAAACGTTATTAGTAATTTTTTGTTTGTTTGGGAATTCAAATTCATTATTTATAAACCGATTTTCTGGAATGTTATTTTTTCGAAGACCCAGCATCACGTCTGTAGGGCACAAATCGCCTTTTCAATAACCTAACAATTAATTTAGCTAACCAAAGCAAAGATAAGCAAGTAAAAGTGGGTGTGAACGTAGAGAGTTGTACATAAAATATGCAGAGTATGCGTTTTCATGAAGCGCTGTAAAACTATCCCACTGGCACCGGTACTTAACGTGTTTTAATTGAATGAGACATCTGTCCGTTTGCCATGTCATGCCTATTAGACAAGTGTGACCATTTACTGCGTGGCTATAATGAGGTGTACAGAGGCGTGCAAAGGGCGATACACAGGTGATAGATGAACATATTCTCGCTTCTTCATCAGTCGAATCAAATAAATTACACGTTTCGTTCATTTCGAGTAGCACACATGGAAGAGACAGTATCTTCATGAACACCAATTGTGAAACTCGCAGTGATGCGAATCAGCCCGCCTAGCTAGTCGGCACACATTCGCCTCTGTATATGAGCCTTAGCAGCAGCGACAGGTGGACAGCCGAGTGAGGACTCAGAGCACCATCCTAACCCAGCGCCAGTGTCTGTCCCGACCCACCGGACGCAGTGCCATCCAGTGCCTCCCCTCCTCTCCAACATGTCCGTGCTCGTGATGAAGCTGAAGAAGTGGAAGGACAGCCGTCCCAACAGAAACACCTTCCCCACCAGCCACCTGGAGACCTGGGATGAACGACAGCGGCGCAAGGCGGCTCTGCTCATCATCTACATCAAGACGCTCGTCTACTTCTCCGTCGTGGCGATGGTGATGCCGCCCACCTGGCCGTACCTCCAGTCGCTGGACCCGAACGCCTCCAAGACACTGGTCGGATGGATCATTGTTGGGGTACCGGCTCTACGGCCGGTCAATGCTCTACTCGTTGGTTGGCTTCTGAAGAAGTTCTCCATTCGAGCTGTGACTATTGTGTCCGGGGTCTTCATTTTGGTCTCGTGCGCTATGTGGTCTACGGCCTACCATGTGAGTACGATAAATTCTGGTCTTGAAATTTGAAAGAACATTGATGCATGACATGACTCAATGCGTGTGTAAACGTATGAAAATGATTAAAGGTAGACTGCCACCTTTTTCCACAAAACGGTTTTCACTAGAGCTGAGCCACCTATGTCCCAGACTGAAGTCGGTTTTCCGAAATTCGAACCCGTTTGCGAGAAATCGGAGACCAAAGTTCAGTTTGATGCCATTTTTTTAGTCCAAGAAAACCGACATCTCTACTGTTTATCGATAACTTTGAAACATGAATTTTCTTATCTTTTGGTAAATATATGTCAAAACTTTGATTGTTTCGAGATCAGAGAAGAATTTTGGAGTGTCAAAATAAAAGTTAAACTTATATATTCAGTAGTTCATTTTTTTCCAAAAAAGTGTGGGAAATGGGGTTTAACATGGGCCAGACCCATTCCAAATGAGCCATGATTTTTTTTAATGTTTTACGAACTTAAATGCAAAATAAATTAAACATGGCCAATTTCTCATGAAATCATATATTAGTAAATCATAAAATACCTTACTTTTTCAAATAAAATGTAATAATCTGATGACCTTGAAGTCTAGTGATGTGTAAACATTGTCGCTAGACATTAACCGATTGATAATTGTATGAAAATCGACAATTTTTTTTCGCGATTCACGTGATGATACTTTGTCAGGTGAATTCTAAAATTTTGTTTTGTCCAGGGAATAAATCATAGGCCGATCTGAGAAAACTTTTTGAAGGTGGCAGTCTTCCTTTAAAACATGATAATCAATTAGGGGAATAAATACTAACAAATGACTAGTTAGAGAGCGGGAAAAGGGGTGAGATGTGTAAATCGAGTATGTCGGGTCAGCGACTTAACATTTATTTATGAACAAAATATTATTTAGAAAAGGATGAGCAAATGCTGTTTTAGGGCAATGTTGTCAGTTTCAGGAACGTTAGTGATGATAAAAGCCGTTTTCACGACGGCCATCTGGTACACATTTGGTGCTCATCTGGTACAGATTAGGTGCAGATCTGGTCAAATCAGGTTCAGTGTGTCTCTTAGCAGCTATCAGCTAGGGTTGCACTAATTGCTTATATGCCTGCTTTGTCATATTATCAGAGAGACATTTAAAGATCGATTACAACACTGAAATAAATTCATAAAATTAAGATATTTGCTGTAAAAGAAATTAGGTGCAGATTTGGTCAAGTCAGGTGCATTCGCCGGATAGCCCGTCGTGAAAACGGGTAATGTCACTCGAACAGACAGACGGCGTAGCCCAAAAACTGTTCAATGCCATATAATAGCGCTTAAACTGTTCCCCTGCGGACATCGGCTTAAATTAACACAATGGCAGGTGCATGAACGGAGCATCGGTTTACTCATGTACGGTGAAAATAGCGCACTAAATGGCCTTTGGGTTCTGGGTAATTACGCACAAATTATTGTCCCTGAGGGAATAGAGTAGCGCAAAGTCATATGTAATCGTTAGCCGATTGACGTTGGAAATTGGCCGACACAGATGATTTTCTTGGTGCTAGAAAAAAAAAAACACTTAACAACATAGCGCAATTATAGTGCAGTTTTGCTATTGCTTAAATTGATACTTTTTTTCCGTGCAGCTCCTTTCCGAAAGTTTATTGCATTAGGTCGACGGAGACGGCTCCCCGCCGTCATCTGCAACAGCTGCTCTAAGCTGGTGTTCATTGGCGCCAATTTTGAGACTCTAAGACTCGTGATTTACATCGTCACATGGTCAAGATGCGATGTTATTTCTTGTGAAATAACTGAACCACGTAATGACGTAACAATTGACGAGACAGACAACTGAGTTCATTGCTGTAACTGATTTGTCGACCCATCCATCAGCGAATCGACGAAGCTCATTGCTTGGTTCCAATCTCAAACCTGTCTTCTTTTACCAACACGATATCTTACCTTACAGGCACCCATCTATGGCGGCTACTGGCTCCTCATCTCCCGCTTTGTCATCGGTTTCTTTGGAGCCGAGTTTCAGATCGGCACTACGCATGTGGCCTCGGCTACCACTAAGGAGGAAAGAAGCACTGCCATGACGATACTGGCTGGCTGTCTCAGTATCGCCTACATGATGGCTCCTGGTGAGGGACGAGGGATGATGTGAGACTCTCAGTGAGAGTGATGTGGCTAAAGCGTTTGCGATGGCAATGGTGTGGTCCTACAGGTGCTCATATGATCCCCAGGCTAGATATTTGCTTTACGTCCAATGCTTGGACATAAAGCGAATTTCCGGAACCTCAGTGCCTCAGTGCCTAATTCTTGTATTGTGCCTAATTCTTCTGGTGTGACCTCAGTGCCTAATTCTTGTCACATCCAGGTATAATGTCGATGAAGTAGCATGAATGATGTCATGGTGAGATGTGAAGCTGATGAAGTGACATCAGATTCTGATATTTTGTGCTGCGACACCAATGTATGATTCACATGAATCCCGCAGTTGAACTGCCCGTCCCTCACTCAAAGTGTAGTTAACGTTTAGGCCTGAGGTATAGGTGCAGTGACCCTCAGGTATGGTTTTGTAAATGTGTCTTCTATGCTCCACACATGACTTCACCCCCCACAAGTGATGTCGCTGGCGTGGCCCGCAGGAGTGATGTCGGCGATCTCGTTCGTCGGTCCCGTGGGTATCACCGTCTGTGGCTTCATCCTCAACATGTACACCGTCGCGGGCCTGCTGGGACTGGCCGTGTACGCCGCTGCGCTCGGCCTCTTCTGTTTTTACTATGAAGAGAGTGATATCGCAGTTAGAGAGGAGAAACTGGCGGAGGTAAGGACGTGGGCTGCGGGAGTGCGCACCGATTGAGTGAAAGGACAACTGTTTTATGCTAGGAAACATTTTATTATGAAGGCATGTGGACCAAAAGGCCACCTAATTAGCTTAAGCTTGTGATAGTCTTTTGACTTTTGGCTGCTAAGGTAAGAAAGACTCTTGCTGTCCAACTGAACTGCGAAGTTTGCGAAGTTTGTAACGGAACTGACATGTGAGGCTGATTGATGTGTACAATTTCATAAATGTCAAGTGAATTACACCAACCAGTGACTCTGACAATCCACCATTATGCGTCATTAGGTGAACGCTGACCTCGTGTCTCTGGTCGTTTTCATGCGACCTCTAATCTCCAGCTTCTGTTTTCCCCCAGGCAACTTCAGGAGGCGGCTCAGCTTCTTCTGATCCGGAAGAAGATCTCTTCCCTTCCCGACCAGTAACCACCGACTACCTGGCTGTGGCCGTGTGTAACCTAGTGGGTGCCCACTGCTACGGATGGCTTCAGCTACCAGACACCATGATGACCCCCATGGCTATGGATCTGTACGGATGGTCTGAAGAACATGCTGTACGTCGTGCTGGAAACATTCTCACGCTCTACGGTATCCTAGCTCTGGCTGGATTCGCTCTCTCCGGACGTCTTGCGAAGAGATTTCCTGAGAGGGGAATCATGTTAGGTGGTACTTTGATGTACTTGGTAGGTGCGCTAGTTATGTTTCCAGTTATGGGACCGACGCCACCCATGGCTGGTCCTCCCCCGGGCAACAACTCACAGCTGGAGGTGAATGTCACAGCTTTACACCTCATGAAGTCGTATCGCTCCCCCGGTGGTCACGCCTACGTCATGAATCTTGCCGAGGGTGGCAGGCAGGAGCAGCTACCGCTTCAGCTGCGTGACCTTGATCCTGTCACTGGACGTCAGCTAGGCTGTCCTGCAACGCAAAGTTGGTGTTTGACCGAACCTCGACCTCACCTAGCACAGCTTATCATCAGCTTTGGACTTGTCATGTGTGCCACTCCTTTCGTCCTGCCCATGGTCAACTCGTGTATTTCGAAACTCCTTCCTGCCGGCAACCAAAGTGTCATGTGGGGGATCGTGAATGGCTCTGCCAACGTTGGGCGTCTGATCTACCCACTCCTCAACATCTATCTGTATACCTTTCTCGGGGTTCGTGCACAGTATGGCGTCATGATCGGACTTTGTGCTTTGTGCGTGGTGTTACTTCTGGTGACTTTCAGACGTCTAAGGCCTCGTCAAGAAACAGGTGACAAGATTCCTCTCACCGATACTGGCAAACCTGGCTATGGAGCCACGAAGGCAGACCAGGGCTGATGGAAAAGGAAGGAGGAGAGGGTGCTGGTTTGTTTCTTGATGTTGTTAACGATATAATAATCGATACGGAAAGACATTCCAAACGAAGAATAGCTATCGAATGACGATGGCAACCGACTGCATTGCGTGGATGATTATTCGCGTTAGCTACACGCCGATTAATGATCCATTAATTACTGGCAATGACTTTGCATGGCTATTGGCAAGTTATCAGCGAGCAATGGATGTGTCTTGGCGAGAATATGTTACTTACAGCGAGAATAATAAATGGACGGATGATAACTGCTCTTCGATAGATATTATTTAGCAATTGCATACTCCAGGCTTTATTTGTAGTTACGGTTTTCATGCTCAATGCGTCATTTTGATTTCCTTGTAGTCTATTTGCACAAGCGAGATAGTGCAAGTATGCCATCAAGCTGACCTGTGGCCTTGTCAGTAACACGTAAGTACGCAGTAGCTCGCGTACAGAGCGCCACTTCTATCAATCAATATAACCCGTGTGAACATTCATTCGACGGAAGTACTCAGGAGTGACATGGTGGCATACACTCGATGCGGAACAAAGAGCGAAAGACAGACATTGACACGCACCTACTAATGAAGGTGACTTCCGTGGGCTTTATATATGATTGAACGGAATAACTTATATATGACAAATGCATGTAACGTAATAGATGCTGTAATATTTGCACACGTAATGAGCGGACTGGAGTAGGTTTACATATAGTGCAATATTCTTCACGCTATGTTTTCAGGAAATAAAACGGTGGTGGATCAGTAACAGCTGTCAGCCCTATATGTATGTAAAACACGGGCGAATGAAAAAAGATATAGGCACGTTTACTTTCAGGCTTGCAGTGAATGAATGATAATCTACCAAGCGCAACTGTTTAAAAATTGTTTTGAATGTAACTAAGCCTGTTTGACGTTTTATTAACTCTACGTTTGTAAAGGAATTGAGCAAATTTCTGGCCTAGGGTCTAAATATACGGATAGGTACCAGAAGAGTTCATAGACAGACGTTCAGCGTATAATACCTACGGGCGGTAGCTCGTAGCGGTAGTTCGCTCACTGATATCATTTGATCTGTACCGCACTAGGCCGCTGACATTGTTCGCTGTCTGCTCGTCAGCATGACTTGTGAATAGTGCGCGAATGCCGCAAAAGCCACAAATTGGTCAATGGCATCACCCCCCTTTGCCCATCCAGGCGAGCACTGAATGACGTGTCTCTATGGCTCCGCGATGGAAACGTTATTTAGAAATGCCTGAAAATATTTTAAAATGCATTGGTGCTTTTCCTATCAAGATGGGAGACGGTAAAAAATAAAAAAAAAACATTCGTGATGCACCACCATTATGCATCAATAACACTTTCGGTCACACACGCGTTCGACGGTCGTGTGACTGACGCTAGCGCGCCCAGGCGGCCTTTCTCAGAAGCTATGGTAATCTCTACGGTCAGCAGCTAGCGCCGCGCTCGCTGCTAGTGTCCGCTAGAAAAAAACTGATTGGTCAGTGTAAGCCATTCCACCCGTCCGTCGTTTCCATCCTCGCTCCTCAGACCTCAGGATGTTCAAGTCCTTCTCCACGCCGCAACCCAGGCAACTTTACCTCATGCGGGCTGCTGCGCTAGAGGGCACCGCTGCTCCCAAGGGAGCACACCCGTAGCCGGTGCGGAGAGTGTTTGGGGGCCCTGTCCAATCGGACGGGCTCAGCCGGCAGCCCCGGTGACTCTCATAGGGTGTCTGTCCAGACCAATGTCTCCCCCTAATTCTTATCATCCTCCCGGCTCTGAAATGGTCTTGTCAGACCGAAAGGTCCTAGCCCAACAAAACAAACAAACAAGTAAGCCATTCCATTCCATTTCTTCACTCTCGTTCGTTCGTTGCTCCAGCGTATGTCCTGCCGCCTTTAGGCGATTTGGCTCAAAATTCATTTTTAGCTTTTAGTTGTGCTTAAGGGTGAAGATCTATGGAAGAGGCATAATTGAAATTTTATTTGCGTACATTTTATTGTTTTTTTTCGGCTTAGCTCCATGATAACAATTACAATCACAATTTT